TCGTCCGCGACGGCATTGACGCGTTGAACCTCCAATGGTCTGTTGGTGCTCTCAAGACACCGCGTGCGAAGAAGACAACTACGGAAAAGGCGGCGACGTCGCGGATCACTCGTCACACGGCGCGTCTTATCGGCACCCCTGTCGAGACTCTTGCGACCAAAGTCTCCAATCTCGGCAAACGGAGTCGCAAAACCTTTGAGAAAAACATGTCCAAGATTCCCCGCGAATTGCGCCGCCTGCAAGACACCAAGGAGTTCACCGGCATTGACGAGAAGCCTGTCATCAGAACGGTCTGGTCTAATGGAAAGCTCGTGATCTTGGACGAAAATGGCAACATCCCCGCGCCACCGGCCAAGAGGGCCAAATCTGAGCCGCTCGAGACCAAGAAAGAGGAGGTAGAGGAGAAGACTGAGAAGGCTGCCGACGCCCCGTCCAAGAAGACGAAGCGCCACAAGAAATATCTCGATCGCGGACTGTATGCCGGCCAATCGGCTCCATCTGATTTGACCAAGGGTCTGTCGATACCTGAGCAGAGAAAGCTTGCGCAAACACCGGAGCTCAAGGATTACGGCCGCCCTAACAAGGCCCTGCCGTTGCCCATGTTTAATGGACTGCGCCTGCTGCTCAGCGGTCGCGATTTCAAGCTTCCTTTTGACGTCTGCAATCCTCTGCCGCCTGGCCAGCCGAAGCCCGACGATTTCCGCAAGATGACAAAGAGTTAGATACCTAACGCCTCTGGTTGACTCCCCTCACTGACCTTGATACAGATCGTTTCGTTGGCGATTCTCTGAGCCTGTGGAAGAAGACACCACATTTCATCGACCAATCCAAGTGCGTCTGCAAACCCGAGGATGGATGCAGCGAGGACTGCCAGAACCGAATCATGCTGTACGAGTGCGACGACAAGAACTGCAACGTGGGACGGGAAAACTGTACAAACCGCGCCTTTGCCGATCTCCAAGAGAGGAAAGCAGGTGGCGGCAAGTACCGCGTTGGTGTTGAGGTCATCAAGACGTCTGACCGTGGTTACGGCATTCGTGCGAATAGATGCTTCGCGCCGAACCAGATTGTCATGGAGTACACCGGCGAGATCATCACCGACGAAGAATGCAACAACCGCATGGAAACCAAGTACAAGGACAACAAGGTGGGTAAAGACTTAGCCGAATGTACCGCTCAGTAAAGCTAACCACAACACCAGTGCTACTATCTCATGAGCTTCGACCAGAACATGATTATCGACGCCACGACCGGTAGCATCGCTCGTTTCGTTAACCACTCGTGTGCTCCCAACTGCCGCATGATCAAGTGGATCGTGTCTGGCCAACCTAGAATGGCACTGTTCGCGGGGGACAAGCCCATTATGACGGGCGAGGAACTCACTTACGACTACAACTTCAGTCCGTTTAGCGATGAGAACGTCCAGACATGTCTCTGCGGCGCGCCGAACTGTCGAGGGATCTTAGGGCCTAAGCCTCAGGAAGTCAAACAGCCCAAGCCTCCCAAATCGACTATCAAGGCAGTGGTCAAGAGCGCCGTCAAGGCGAGCAAGAGAAAGATCGAGACGATGATTGGCGACGAAGAAGATGGTGGCTCCGCAAAGAAGCGCAAGATCAAGGCCGCCAAGGGCGTGAGACGATCACTATCTTCGACCGGCCTGCTCACCAAGGCTGCCTCCAAGGGTGCGGCCACGGTTAAGAGACGTGTGTCGGCCATGGCAATTCTCGGCGGCACTAGCAAGACGAGCACCCCGGTGAAAACGGCCAAGGCCGCAAAGGCGACTCCGGCGAAGGCAGCGGCGAAGAAGGCAACTCCGAAGAAGGCAACTCCGAAGAAGTACACGGCTCCCAACCCGGCGCGCAAAGCTACCACAGTCCGTAAGTCGGGCTCCGGAAAGATGCTCAAGACGTACGGAAAGGTTTCGCCTAAGAAGCTGAGCAGTCGTGCGCCGAGCATGACGATTGTGGCCGCGGGAGCAGAGAATGAGGAGGAGCTCACCCCGGAGAAGAGCAAGGCCCAAAAGCTTCACCGAAGTCTTAGCAAGGCATCTCGCAACGCACTGGAAGAGCTCTCACGCGGCTCCACCATCCGTCTCGTAAGCCCTGAGCTTGTGAGCCCCGGGGCCACGATCACAGCCCGGCAAGACTAGGTGAGCTAGTGGCGAAGTCTGGGCCACGTTGCATGAGGCATTTTATTATGCCTATCCATCATATTGAATCTTGACGTCGACAAACGAGGGCGGCACGGATGAGTTTGGCGTTGGCAAGGTGTTTTCGGTCATTCAACAGGCGAAACGGAGGCAAGGCATTGTACATTAAGGGAATCGAAGGGAAGGATGACATCGTACATGGGGAGAGACGAACGAAGAAGTGACGAAAGGGGAGAGGCGATGAGAGACCTGGACGTCAAGGGCTTCTGGACGGATGTCGGTCTCTGCCTCCGTTGGGCATTCACCCTTCTCCCCTGCGAAATCTGGCTGCATACGTTTTTTCGGAACTGGGGGACTTCATTGCCAGTTGCAGGGAGGGTCTAATCATTTTTTTTTATCTTTCCCCCCCTCAAATGGTGGTCAGCAGCAGCAGCTCTAGGCATATTTATTTTAACTGGCATGTTACAAATTTCTTCCGTCAAGGTGGCAGGGTCCTTCTTGTCATTGCCTCTTAAGTACACAGAAAGAGGGAATGGTTGGACCGAGGTGTACTTTCAACGGCAGCCAGTGGTTTCTTCTCGAACATATTGTGACTAGCGTGAGGTTGAATTTGTTCACCGAGCCTAGACCGCGAGGCGGCACGCGCTGGACGAGGTCAGAGGGAGGTGAGTGGGAGATGAGTGAGCTTTTCATCCGGGTACGGAGGTGAAGGAAATCGAGCAATGAGGCGAGTGATGGGGGGGACTGCTGCGAATGGTTTGATGGGCCAATCAATGAGCACAACCGTGGTAGGCTCGAGTATAGGGAGCTAACGCTCGCTGCATGGACCTTTTACGCCATCCCCGAGACCCCCAATTGGCCTCCCCTCCCTCCGCACATGGCAGGTCTCTGAGACTGCGAGATTCTGACCAAGGGTTGTGGGGTCCGGGGCTGTGCCGCGAACAGTTCCAGAAGCCTGCCTTAAGTGGATGGAAAATGCAACGTCGGGCGTAAGCGGGCTAGCGGCGCAGCAAACAGCAAACAAACAGCATTGAGAGAGAAGCCATTTTTAGGACGCCAGTTGTGCTTTGTGCTCCGGTTTTCGCGACAACGATTCATCCGTATGCTCGAGGTTGCAAGTTTCTCCTTTCTTTTTTCTTGACGATGCCGGTCGCACTTTTTCTTGATTTTCTCACTTGAGGATGAGAGGGACTCAGCCTAGGCGTCTTAGGGACGAGAAGCTTGGTTAGGCACGTTTCTGCCTCGTCGGGCGGCCCCCTACGGTTTCCTAAACATGGCTTGTTCTCTTTCTCTGCTTGTGTTTCTTTGCTCTTTGAGACCTCAGCTTACCAAGGTTGCTCTCTCGCATCCCTTTTCCATGAGGTGACTTGGCACTGGGCAGGTGTGGTAGGTAGGCGTGGCAGTCAGAAGTTCATCATCGCGCGCGACAAAGAACAGAGGTGTGGCGGACCGGGTCTTACTCCGACGGTAGCAACACTTGTGGCGTGGCTGGTGTGCTGGTGGAAGATATGATTACTCCGTAGGCAGCTGTGGCTAGTGTATCCGCACAGGTATGACGGGGCCGGGCGAAGTGGGTCCCATTCTGTCAATGGACGGGACCAAGGTAGAAGCAATGTGGGGCCGGGGGGGATGGATACCTGAAAGCCGGTGAAGCACCTTCGCCGAAGACAGACTTTCGTCGGCCGGTGTGTTCTTTCTTTTCTGTGTTGACTTTCCTCCACCGAACGTCGTAGAGTCAGGTAGGCTCGTGGTATGAATCTTCCATCCCTTCCCACCTGAAGGTAACCATTCATTCGCCATAAACGTTGAAGAGCCTCATGTCTGCAAATCAACCAACCAACCAAAAGCGCAACGTAACGTGCCTATTGTGGCACAGATTTCCAAATGTGCAAGAAATTTATACCCAATCACCATGATTCGTTCCAAAAAAGTCGCGGCCATTATTAGGAATGCTCAAGGGTCTCACAGCCACGCTGGCAGCTGCAACCCTCAATCACGCCTTCATCACCAAAATCCCAAATTTCTTGAGCCGCATCCCGTGACTTGAGCCTCCAACTACCCCTCCCTGTCTCTGCCATCGCACGCATTCTCTCATCCACCTGCCGCCCACCTTTGGGGAAGCATCCCTCCTTTTCGCAACAACATCAACGAGCCCACGCTACGTGTGGCGCGCTGGACCGTTTCAACCTCGACACTTCATTTTTCTCAATTCCGCGCCTGCGCACTTTCGCATGTGTGCTGCTGCGCAATCAGTACTTTTTAGCCCCTCAAGGCAACAACAACTGGAGCTAAGGGAACCTAAGCTTCGTCCAAAGTGGGGCCGAGTCATCGTCATCCCCTGGAAGCTTCATTCTCGCCCTCACTTGACAAAATCGCAAACTTACGTCGCCAAAAGACAAGGCAGCCGCTAGAAGTCACTAGCCAGCGCCAATGCCCACTTTTTGCTCTCACCGGATCAATTGGATTACATTTCCAAGTCGATTCTTACAAAACAAACCCTGATCTATTCGCTATGCTGAGTGCTCGCTCTGAAGCTAAGTCTATCGTAATTCTATGTTGTCTCGATGCCGAGGAGGGCTCGTTTTCCCTGCCCACTTCGTGCACGGTGCCGGGTTCTGAGTGGCCGTCCATGATCCGTGGCTGTGCCCGACCAGCGGCTGCCTTTCTTCCTCTCCTGTCCATCCTCTTTTGTGTCTTCCATCCTTGTGGTCCCTATGGCGGCACCTTTTCCCTTCTGCTGTTTGAGAGGTCTTGTCTGTCGTAGTCGCGACTGGTGGCGGTGAAGTTGAAGGACGAGATGTCCGAGGCGCCACACATGGGTGGGGCCCGCCATGTCAGGTCATGGTATGGCGAATGCCATCAAGTGTTCGTTGTCTACGAGGTCCCTGGTTAGTCTCTAGTAGACCTCTTGACGCAAGACATACTGGGACTTACTTATCGGCCAACGGGGACCTTGGTCTGCGTGACCGTGCAGTAACTGCACCGCGGGTGGTAGCAGGATGCGCAGTGTGTGTTGATCTTGCAGCTATGAGGTCCTGAGGAGCAGTTGTGCTGAGGGAGTCGATTAGCAATGCACAAAATCGAGTGATGGAAGACAATTTTGTTTGAACTTACGCAGTACCACACGTTGCTGACGGTGTACTTGGTCATGATGGGCCTGGAAAAGCGAAGAGAGTATTGAAGTTGAGTTGAGGTGGTCTACCAGAAGTCTAGTATAGAGGCAGTTGGTTCTGATGTGTTTGCGTCTGGGTTGATGGGATGTTTCGTTTCGTCTTGCTTGGAGGGATCACATTAAGTTTTATAATCTTCATCATCGCACTCATTGTTCCAATATCTCCATGTGGAATTGGAAAAGCCTACGGAGAGCAGACGCGCGAGTGCGCATTTCCTCTTTCCGGGTCGTAACCTCGGTGAGTGTCAAGCATCTTTGTGGTTTGTACGCTTTTTCGCGTAGAAAAGATCAATGGAGCTGGGGCTGTGGCGTGGCCTCCCCCCGTTTCCTCGGTGTACATACACTTTCATGAACCCCCCTTCCACGCCAATGATTTTCCAAGTTGGCCTCGTCCCGAAGAAAGCCCACCTCTGTTTGACTCTTCCGGGGCTGCCTTGTTATGTAAAAAAGGCCGTTCTGTTATTACAACTAAGGTACATACAATCCTGCGCCACCCCTTGGTTTCGTCAGTACGGGAAAACTTGACCGAGATTTACCTGTTTGTCAATGTTACCCCCTCGAGCTACGCAGACTTGAACGCCCTGTCTTACAGACCGAGGACTTTCAATTCATGAATGTGCCCCTGCTGTTCCTCGAAGTCGGTCTTGACAATGTTCTACAGTACCTACCATCGAGTCACCGGATGAAGGCGCCTCGAGTCAAGATGTCATCGAACGTCCATTACTGGCTACAGAGTGCAATGCTATTAGGCAAATTCGACATATCATACTGGCGGCATCGCCCGGTCGAGCGTAGAGTGCTGCGCAAGCAATGTTTCGTTACATGACGTCAAGTTTCTACACGGAAGGGCGGCCGGTTTGGCGAATCACCACGAGCCACACTCTACAGTCACAAAAGTCTTGTTCTTTCAAGGTCTCGTTCGCAATTACAAGCCCACTGCTGGGCCGATCACTGCCTAAGCTACAATCATATCAATTCTATCTATCTGCTTGGTATCTGTCGCAACCCCCCCCCCCGCGCGCGTCTCCTAGGCTTTAGGAACAATCCTGCAGACACTCTCATCCAAGGTGAATCACACCCGCTCATTGACCGACACGCTGGCGGATGACGCTGGTCTGGCAACCGTGGCAGCGTTGATGTCTACAGTTGGGACAGAATACGTCAAGCTGAATGTTCCACGGGCCATTGGTGGTACAATGATCCTAAGGGCAAAGCATGTTAGTCGGACGATGCCATGTAAAAGGCAATATGAGCTGGGATGGGGCTATCACTCACGCAATACCAGACCATGACGTCGACGTACTGCCTCTTGCTGCTAGAACCAGAACTGCTACCGTGAGATTTTCCGTGGGAGCCGCCGTGGCTCTTGGAGCTTGAACTCTTGGGGTGACCCATTGCTGGTGTTGATGTTTGATGTGATAGGAAGAGGTGATTGAAGATTTGGAGAGCGATGAGAGTGATGAGAGCGTGCTATAGCGGTCCTTAAAGAAGTCTATGAAAGCTGTTGCTGGTGCCGATATCGAGAGACGACTTCAAGTTTCTGCCAGCGAGCGTAGACGTTTCTTTTATCTCTTTTGATTTCCGTCCTCATCCTCAGAGGCATTTTGGAATGGACCTGCGCAGGTGCGCAGTTTCCTCTGTATTTCCTCAGTCAAGAGTCATTATTGCAGCTGAGCAAAATTGGAAATCCTCGATATCCTCTTCCTCAACGGCTTCCTCCGTGAGGCTTGGCTCTTGCGCCACCTCTCCCGGTAACAATTTCATATTGGTCCTCTTCCTCACTACCAATCATGACCAAGGTGGCCTCACATGCCTCTTTTTTCCTCACGTATTTCCTCATTTTCCTCCGGTGTTTAATCAACGTATGACAACAGGCACCGATTCCTCGCAAAGACATTGGTCTCACTTTATGTTCCAAGAAGATAGCAAATGTCGTTCGTTCGGTGATGCATTTGTTGCTGCCGCAGGTCTTTTTCTTTTGCACTCGGTGTCGGGGGCGGCCCTTGTGCCTCCCATGTGGCGTCACTGCCGCCTCCGACGTCGCCCTTCCCGGTCTCCCGGTAAAAAGGGCACTTTCATCCTTCAGGGCGGTTGGACCGTTGTTTATGTTGTGCATGATGGTCGCATGGCGGACCATCACGACAGCTCCCGCGGCCGCGGGGTGGGAGACCAACGCAGGCGCGAGGCGCAACGTCCGCCACGAGGCACCCCGGCACCAATTCGAATGTAGTAACTCTTACCCCCTAACCAGGGACTTTTTTGCCTGTGGATGAGAGAGCCTAACTCGATTGCAGCACCCCCTCTATCTTTCTTCAAGTTGTCCACGCACACTCACACGAGGCGAACCACCTAGTACCGAGACGCTGCTGCAGCTTCCCACCCAACATATCCCGCCTTTCATCCAACGCCCTTCTCCGGCTCATACCCTCATTAAGCCCATAGCCCCGGAGGCCGGGAGCTAATTGAGTCTACAGGGCTTTCGTGGATCTTCCTAGACCGCATATTGGGCCACATGCAGGTCCTTCCATGTGATTTCAAGGTTGCTGCGAGGTTTGATGTGACGACGTGCCTGAACGAGGCCTCATCACGTCCCGTCATCCGAGAACGAATCATGTCGTTGGAGTTGAAGAGCTTGTCGGGCATTGGCTGCTTTACGAGAGTGCCTTGAGGTGGACCTTGAGAGTTTGTGGTGGCCCATCGCACATGCTCGAATTGGATGTTTACTGTAGGAGGTCATGAGGTATTCATACATCATAATGTCAAAGGGAGACAAAAGACTTTTGGCATTGGGTTATCATTGGTTTGCAAGATACGACTGGCGGCATTCTGGCTTTCTCTCAAGGATGCCTCGAGCGAGTGGCTGTTCATGTTCTCGGGCAAATTACATGATGCTATCCGTCCTTGTTTCTATAGAGATCACGCCAATGGATGGTGAACAATTTCAACAGTCTTACGGCTCGCTGGTTGTAGGCAACTTATGTGGCATGTGAAAATTCCATGTGAAGCTCGGAGAAGGCCGGTTGATGACGAACAGCAACGTTACTCGATGCTCAGGAAAGGCGCTGCGTGGGCTTACACCGGGTCATAGTCTAGTCTCATCCGCGAATGCGACGTATTTCTAGTGCCCAAATTACGAATTACCAAAAGCAAAAGGTGTCATGGCTACTTTGTCTCTTCATTGTCTGTAGCTTTGCGGAATTGTTTTTGTTTGCGACTTGTGACTGTGATGAGATTGTGTGGAGTCGGGCTTCGCCACACTGGGTCGACTTACACACTCCAATCGGCATTGTTCACTTCCTATTTGACACTGAATTCCGTAATTAATGATCTTACATGGCTCAAAAGAAAAAAAGATTCTAAACTTTCAAAAGGCTGGGTAACGTTGCAAAGCAAAAATGAGATGAGTCCATTGAGGATGAGTCGTGAGACTTCTAGTCTATCTAGCAAATGACTTGCGTCTTAGACCCTCTAATACATATATAATCGTCCAATGAAACGACAGTAGTGAGCAAGGAAACTATAACTCGTAACCGCTCAAGATCCTTAACAAATGAAATCAAGATAGTAAAGAAAGCTCCAATCACATAGTCGACCCCTTCTTGGCCCCTAGCGGGAGTCGCATGCATGCCATGTGACTCAGGCAAGAGACTAAAAAGAACGACGCATGGAACCGGCCAATGAGAAATAAAAGAGATCTGAGCGAGTAGGATCGAATTGTGAACTTCGAACCAACTCCATCCACCCTGAACATGCAACTCCGCGTGGGCGGAACTGGATGCCACCCCAGAAAACATCCCTGCTGCTTCCCGCATCGTGCCGGGTGCATGACCAGGAGGGGTCAAGGTACTTTCGAATGATTGTGTGCGCCGTAGTTAGTTGAGGTTGTCGAATTTGCCGCTGCTGTGATTTCGCCGGTATAGAACAACGATGAAGCGTCGGCGAAGACGGCTATCGCACTCTGGTAGTCTGAACCGGGCAACGGCTGCAACGAATGTTGTGGCATGCCGGGCAGTAGTCGATTCTCGTGGTCATTCCAGAGTCACCGCAAATGCACTGTTAAATGTTAGTTGTTGAGTTGAAGGAGTAATGGCTCAATATTGGCTTACGCATGTCCAGACCTGGACGTAAGTCTTGGATGATGGCTTAGATGAGGGCATTGTGATAGATTGAGTCTTGGTGCAAAGAGATCAGAGAGAAGAGTGGTAGATTCTTAGACGAGTATAACTAGCAGATGCTCGAAAGGAAGCTGAAGGCGCTGGTGGTGTAAATCCAAGCCATACTTGAACCTCAGGAGCCCATCTCTTATATACGCGAAACCTCAAGGCCAACCTCCATATCACTTAGTTTGTATCGTCCGCATAGTCCCATTGTCATCACAATCGAAGGCAGTGTCAAAAGAAAGCCTGGCCGAGGCGATGGAAATGTTGGCCAACTAGGTCTCAAGCCACGTAACGAGGGTCACTAGATCGTCGTTCACGGGGTGCCTTAAACGGAGGCACCGCCGGCGTGAATGAGTCCTCTTGTGGATACTCCTGTTGTCAACCGGTGCCCATCGTGGCTGTTCCAGAAGGCATCCTGCTTGCCTCGGAAGAAGTTGGAATTCCACACTCCATAACGCGACCTCAAATGCTACCACTGCGCCTTCCAGTTAAGCCGCCTCTAGGCTGATAATTGGTATGTAACCTCTGCCCTAATAGGTCCCGTACAGGCGTTTCAGTTTCCGGAGCGGTGGTTCGACCGATGTCACGGTATGTTTAGGTAGATAAGAGTACGGTAGGTGGTCTGGGACAAAATTAGCCTAGACATTTTTCGAGCAGATACCCACCAGTGACGAGGAGAAGGGGAGAATATGACTCCTTTTGTCTCGCGCCGAAAGTACGGGGAAGGGCGGCAGAGCAACGCCATGGGTTAGGAAATGGGTGGAAGCCGTCTGAATCCCCAATGTGAAGCGGATGTGCGGCTCTACTACAACGGAGGAGGCTCTGCTATGCGGCTCTGCGGCTTTTGTCGGTATCTGAAGGAGTTAGTTGACTAGGGTGGACCCGAGGACTGCTCTATGTGTGTTGCACAAAGGGCGAGGGGGAAGTTGCCCTGATACAGGCAAATTCTCACCGAATAACCAGGCACCCATCTCCCCCTACCTGAAACTCAAGGCTTTCAAAGGCTGATTCCAGAGTGAGCAGAGCCGCATGGTACGTATGCCCAAGATGGACCTTGGGCTGCGATTTGGCCTCGACGTTCGAGATGGAGTCACACTCGTTCCAGTTGTAGCTATACTCCATCGACCCAGGCATCAGACGCAGCCTTTACTCCCACAGGTGCGCGTACGTGATGCGTATGCGGTGCGTATGCGGCCAAGACGAGAGTGAAAACCGGTACTTAGAGGAACCAAGGGAGAGGTGTCTGTCGGACCACGGTCAGGCCTGATGTGAGATGCGAACCATTGATAGGCAGCAGTCCTGTCGAGAGTGAACAAAAGAGGCGTCGGATTGTGCTCTGAAGCGAGGTGCGACACGTGAGGGGAGAGTCTCCATGCAGTATTGCGTAAGCAGCCGGAGGTCTTGTCTCAATGGAGGAACTGGACCTGCATATTGATAACTGTGTCACGTGATTCTCCTAGAGATCTGCCGTTGTTCAGAGTCGTTTGGTTTGAAAACGAAGCTGCAGAGTAACCTGAAATACATTTGGGGAAAGCAGGTCGTAGAAACCTCCGTCGTGGATCTGATTCCGAGTCAGTCCTTGGTTGAGGTTTGGCTGGTGATGTTGGAAGATTAAGAAGATAGAAACGAACCTAGGAACAAACAGTAGTACAACGGCGGATTAAGTCTACTGTTGTAATGGTAGGTGTAGAACGTAGTTGTAACAATACTCCGACCTATCAGTTGAGTGTACTACACCGTCCAAAACTTACACTGCATACTCGTATTATGGATATTGTCGGTGGGAAAGATGCAGCCTTCTATTCATGCTTCTTATTCGCCGAAATCGCTCCTTCGTCCTCCGACTGGTGCGATCGAATCGTGGGGATCGAAATAGCTAAGACGTATTCAAGTCGAATCGTGCCAATGAGGGTATTCATACGTTGGGCGTATGTGCGACAGTCCATTCAGGTGTTGTTGTGTCAGCCGTCAAGAGATCCATTCCAGCGACGACGGACGGAGAACAGAGGTGAAGAACGGGGGTAGTCGAGCTTCTTATATAAAACTATGGTAATGCGGCTCTTTTGGCCGGCTGACCACACGAATGCTACATGCGGTCCTCAGGATAGCATCAGGTCCTGGTAGTGCAAGCCTAGGCAGAGTCCTACATTAATCAACTTTCCTGGACAGGTCATGCGTCGTCTGTGAGGGGCCATCGGCACATGTGCCGCACAGCCTGATAATCTGCGGACCTTGTCCTTGAAGTCGAGGAAAGAGATGCGGGATCTCCAAGGCAGGCCTCGATGTGGCTGGCTGTCGGACCAAAGCAGGGATAGCGTGGTAGATTGAGCTCGATGTGCATGTAAGGTAGGTGATGTGTGAGAGGCTGTGAACAAGAAGATCTCAAGTACATGATCCCAACACCATGTTTTGAGGCTCAATGCCGGATACCCATCAAGAAGTAATAGGGCTAGTTCTGATAGCGGCGTGATGGAGGGATGATCTCAGGATAGTCGTAAGATCTTGATGGCCTGATCCTCCAGGATGTAGATTACCTTGAGTAGGAGAGCAGTCAGCACTGGGCTGTCGTATTGAAAGTGTGAAAGCCTGCCTGCCATCGTGTTGCTTGTGAAGAGAAGTGTTTTGTAATTGTTCTCTGGAAGAAGTAGTGTCCCGCGTCGGTGTGTGTTATTGCAGTTTTGCCTGCCCCTTGGTGGTGGTGGCGGCCTTAGAGGTTGCCAACTAAACTCTCGCGGATTGTACATATAATTAATCGTCGAAAAGGTCCAACAGATATTGGAAAAAAGAGGTCACCTCCCGGCGGGGGCTACATCTCTGGTGCCCATGCTAGGATTCGAACTCGGGTACTAGCTAAGCCTGTCGTGGAGTAGGCCGGTTGGCGTTTTGGTTGTTGACCTTCAACCACTTTACCACCCAGCCAGTTTGACCTGACCCGTCGACCTAGACGGGCGCCTCCTGGCTGGTGAAAGGAATGGACTTGGAGGGGTATATAAAGGCTCTCCCGCTGGTCCTGAGCTTATTCCGTTTGGTGTCGAAAATTCTCGTTATCGGGCGTGGCAGCCTAGTATGCCGGGCGTCAGGGCGTAGCATTTTCTACTCCACCCACGCTCGACTGAAGATCTGATCGCTTTGGTACAAGTGTCTGGAAAGGCTATAACATAAAGGGAAATCACAAAGATGAATTGAACCGCGAACGGAGTCTCTCTTTGGACTGGAGGTGAAAGATGTAGTTCTTGATGATTACCAATGAGCCGTCAGCTGATGAACAAAATCGCCATAGCTGAAACATCTACAAGCCACGGTGCCGCGTAATGCCTAGCGAATCAAATAGAAAGCAGTCTCGTGTTCTGATACGCAGTGCAAATCGTTCATTGGAACTTGAAAGACATTGTTGTCGTAGGATGAATCAGCATGCCCACTCATCTGGAGGCTTCGTTGGCCTTGAGTGAACCAAGATGAAGGCGCAGCACCGATCGGAGACGGAGTATCGGACGAACCACGGACTGCAGGTTACCCATGAAGTTTCCGCGGGATGTTTTCCTCGGGAAAGAAAAGGGTTGTGTCTCGCAGCTGAGAGGCCACTTTGTCCATTGGATGATATGAAGCTTGAGTGATCGACATTTTGCAGTGAAGAAAGAACATGGTGAAGGGAAACCCGCAAGGAGTGGAGGCTGGCCGGATGCTGTAGGGCTGAAGCCGCTGTTCCCGTTATTGATCCACTTCAGCATAACAAGTCCATTGTTCCGCGCATGTTCTGCAGCGCGTCTCTCCCGCCCCTGTCTTCCCTGTACCCGCTATTCTTCGGCCCTGTGTAAATTGACGGTGGAGGTGCAATGACACCCAGCTGCATCTCTGCACGCACCTCGAAGCGCCCAGAACTTGTCCGTCGTCCCGGCACTAATTTCCGGAAAGAACGACGACCATCTCTGATCTTGCGCATCTGCGCAATCGTCGCATCGTCTGGCGAGGCTCTATAGCCCGTCGCTCGCAACTTCCACGCTCTCTTTGGCTCATTTAATTTGTCCTCATTCTTGTTTCCATGTGCCGGAAATGAATGCGCCGTTGCAATGTCGCAAGCCACCAGCACGAAATGTGCCTCGCGATGGGTGACGCGCATCATCCCCCTCATCATCACTGGCACGAGCGGCTATGCTACCTACGTGGTCGTGGCCTATCTAGGCGGTGAGTTGATCCACTTGTATGACTTCTTCACTCTGCTAACCTTGCGTCGCAGTCGACTACCTGTATAGAACCAGGGGTGAGCACGGCGCCGCAATTTCGACAATCACCCTCTACCTCTTTTTCTACCTCCTCACGATCGCCGCCTACCTACGAACGTTCCTGGAGATCAAAGCAGACCCTGGCTTGGTACCGCTCGGCCCACAAGCTCAACATGCACTTAGAGAAGCGAACAAGAAGGGTAGGCGGAGAAAGGAGGGAGACTTGGAAAGCCAGCCGTACTACACTGGTCCCGATCAGGACCCGGACAGCCCCGGCTTGGAGGGATTCTATAGCAAGGATGTCTTCGTTTGCGAAAGTGACGGACGGCCGAAATGGTGCTCCGAGTGCCGCAACTGGAAACCCGATAGAGCTCATCATTCGAGCGAGGTTGAGCGATGCGTACGAAAGATGGACCACTATTGTCCCTGGGTCGGCGGCATGGTATCGGAGACCTGTGAGTTGATACGATCTGCGGCACGGGCTTTATACTGACAGAATGTAGCCTTCAAGTTCTTTGCTCAGTTCACCTTCTATTGCGCCATATATTGCTCAGTTGCATTGGGCCAGACGGCCTACTGTCTGGCTTTGCAGGTGCGCGAAGGGTCTGTAGACGGGAGAACGATCTCAGGCGTCGCCATCGCCGGTTTCTTTGGACTCTTCACCTTTCTTATGACTGCGACTTCTTGGCGCTTTATTCTACTTAATATTACCAACATCGATGCCCTTCGCAAGTCATGGGTTCATCAACTAGCAATCAGAGTACCCAATGGCACTCGGCCAGGAAGTAGCTACGGCACGATCACATACCCACTACCAAAATATCCCCAAGGGATACCTACCTCCTCGGACGCCACTGTCGACAGCGAGGCCCCTCGCGACCGACTAGCTACGCGCACGTTTGCCATCATCAGGACCGAACCGGATGAAAATCCGTGGGATCTCGGGTACGCCAGAAACTGGACGTCCATTATGGGGTACTCTTTGATCGACTGGCTTTTGCCCATACGCAGGTCCCCGTGCGCCAATCACGATAGCATGGAGAGTGACTACGAGATGGGCCCGTTGATACAGACGCTCAGAGAACGACACGGTTTGCCTGACCCTAACCGTACATCTAGCGGAATGGAGATGCATGAGCTGAGAGACATCGATCGTTGACCGAGGTTCAATTATATCGAACGTCCTTGCACATTTCGGCGCTAATAGGGGGTTGGGCAATGCAAAGGGGGCCGGCGTTTTATTTTGGTTTATATACCAACATTCACACACCTACACGCATACGTAACTAACGTTAAGCCTTCTTATGTAGTAATTAATTCATTATACGGATAAATCGGGCAGACCAGCTCATACACATTGTCAGAATATTCCACCTACTCAGGACTTTCTGATGGGCCTAGTTGCATGGTTAGATTTAGGAGCATCCGGACGACTGGGGTTCCAGCATCCACCTCATGGGCCTAGAGTGGTATACCTTACCTAGGTTCCGGGCGAGACCATCATCTCCTCGGACCTATCGACCTTAAAGATCCACCGGACCAATGGCGCGACCACCGAACGGCGGCGGAAACGGTGGGGCTGATCCGATGTCCTGTAGCTCACCTGATCTCAGGACATCATGAACTCACTACCCGGTACACTCTGCCACATACGACCATACCCATTGGAAAACTCGGGATCCCGTCCGCTCTCCCATAGATAAGCCAATGAGGGCCGGATTAGTAGTTGGGTCGGTGACGACCAGCGAATACCTGGTGTTGTATGTTTTTTGACATTTTTGTCAAGCCATCGTGAACTGGCTATGGCTGCGATGAGTGACGATATTTTTGGCGGCCGCAGATCCATGGCGTTGTTTCAGTAAACGCTAATGGATAATGGAGCTTGTGATCAGGGGAGTGTTGCAATGAGTAAGAAGCTATTCAAAATCTCGGGCTGTTGTCATCGACGGAGAAAAATTAAATAATGAGAGAGAAATTGCTATTCTTCGTGTATCATGCCATATCCGTATCCGCGCGGCATTACGAAAACTCGTAACTCCAGACTGCCTGCCAATCTTCTGCTTTCCATGCTATTGCAGTTCTGTTATCCTGCATTAAAATGAACCCCATATCCCGATATCCATGAGCCGACAGTGGGAAGTCATAATTCAATCTGGATCTGAACAATCGTCACACTTGATGTGACTACAGAATGCCCCATTGCACTTCATTCTGTCTTCGTCATCCGTTCCGCATAGTTCGCTATTGTTGTTCTCGTTACAGTCGCAGCACTTCCAAGATCCCTCGGGCATGGACTTTGTGCCGTTGGGAGGTAGCTCCGACGTGTCGGAATCGTTGCCGTCGTCTGACCTGGGGCAGAGGTGGTGAGTTAACGAGTGGGAGAAAAGGGCAGCTGGTTGGCTGGCTTAGCTTACATATTGTATGATTTCAATGTTCTGGGAGATACGAGAGCCACAAAGGTGCTTCAAGCACGCAGAGAATCCTGAACAAGTACTTTTCAAAGCTCACAGAGTATACTGGGTGCAGCTCAAGCGGAGTATGCAAGGCCAAGCATACGTGTATCGTGGGATATAGCTTGATGTCGAGGAATGAACTAAACACTTGGAGTCAAGGAAGGTAGAAGAAGATGGATAGATGAGAGTATTGAGATGCTTCGACACACCCTGTGATCCATAGCGACAGGTCTTCAGAATCGTTTTATACAAGATTCGATTTCTACCCTATTTAGAGAAACATTGGAGGCGGACGCCTGCCTTCCGTATCTTCATTGCAAGCACTCCAGTTTCAGATCAGAGAATCGGTTTAGATCGCTTTGTGCAGGTCTACCCATGGCCGAGATCCTCGGACGTGGCTCAGAAGGGCAATGATACATCCCCCCCAAACGAAACGTACCTAGAAGAAGGGTCTTGGCCCCCGTTCGTGGCTCAGAGACCGATGGGTGTGCTGGATCTTGCGTTCGTCGTTTTCTCGACTAGCACAGCATAGGGCTCCGAGACCACCCCCACCCGCTAAACCAGGAGAGTACATCTCAGCTCCGAGGGGTTTCCAAAAAGAACTTAGCAATGAGTCGTTCCTGACTGGTTGTCTGTAGGTAAAACATTGGTGAACATTCTTGGGCTGACGCCGGCGATGAGGTTACGCCTTCTACCCGCCGTAATGTCTTGAGCCGCACGGGATGACCGAGCTCTTGGAACTAGCAACATGGGGGCCGATCCTACGGCGGCGGGATAGGAGGGGGTCGTTTAAGGTGAATTTCCGACTTCATCCTGCCGGTACTTGGTTCCTTGCAACCAGTCAGCTAACATACCGCGATACCTCGGGAAGAGGACGAGATCGGGAGCCGACCCCAAAGATGACCATAGGGCCGTTAATGTGGCTTACCCGCAAGGATAAGGCAACGCGGACAAGGCAATGCTAAAAGGGGCCAGCCTTATGGCTCACCTCAAAGTTTAGAGTTCAACAGAAGCAATCCTGATGTTCTGTTTGATCGGGTACCGAAGACACCTCGGCCAGTTTCCGTGCAGCTTACGATCTATTCCACCACATCTTTGCCGAAAGATAGTGAGGGGTTTTCATGTAGGCCACGCCGCTCGACCCGGTTGTCCGTCATGATCGAGATCCAGGGCATCCGTCTCGTATCCATAGGGCTGAGGCGGGGTTAAGATGTTGACTTCGAGATACTAATGTTTATTAGCAACGATGACTCGTTCTGAGACCCCTCCTAGTCCGAATGGACTAGCTTTGCGAGATATGGCGCCTTGTTCGAACCCCACACAAGTCACTCCGTGAATTTTGCAGTGAATAGCGACTCCAACATTCCAACCAAACGGTGAACCGTACAAGTTGAGTTTCAGGTCGACCGGGTGCCTGATGGTATTAGCAAGACTCGCCGAAAGACGCCATGTATCATTTCGACGGCTCCTGTGCAACCAAGCCTCCTACGAACAGCGGTGGTCAACGGGGTCACGGGAACCTGGGTTCACACGATGAACCCCTGATCCGAACTACCAGATGGATAGATGCCTAGCTGATTCGGCTGAAGGGTGGTAACCGTCATAGGATTACGTAGAGCGTGGGGTTGCATAGAGAAGCGAATTTGTGTCTTATCCTCCGTTAGTCGTCGTGGGATGCGGTGCCCTGTGGTCGGCGACAGCGAGGCTTTGCGGCCGGCACGGTATGATAATCAGTCCCCGGGCGGAGTCGAAATAATACGCGAGGAGATATGCAGCCTGATCTTTCTCTTCTCGTCAGATTGGCCGATTAAACGCTAGGGCAACATACGCGGCATGCAGTCTGCGAACCGGAGGTCGAGTCTGGCTTCCTGCAATCTGAGTGAGAAGATGTGACGTCTTGATGGGGGAGGTATGTCATGAAGTTTACTGCAATGAAAGATGAAGTGGGGAAAGCAGATTGGATATCCTCCAGTGACTGCAGTACCCTGGGTACTGTACCACCTGCTTCTTTGGACACGCAATGTGCGAAAGAGCAACTCGTAGCCTGCTGCTGGTAGCATTGGGTGTGGTCAGAGAGCGATGTAGACGCGGCAGGCTCGTTGAAATCTCCAACTGAGACTGATTTGGCCATGGTAGCCAGGGACAGAACATTGCCGGCTTGGGGACTGAGACAGAGAATGAAAGGTACAAGAGAACTTGATTCACTCAGTCACTCAGCTCAAGGGTACTTGAGATGCTTCGAAGCCCGGCGCGCCCTAATTATGATCTTCCTGTCTCGTGTTGCCTTGACGGCTGTTGCCTGATGGATGCCTTTCTCATAGATTTATCAGGGGCGGGAAAGGCGGGCAAAGTACGGAGTACTAAGGTTAGAAATGTCTTGAAACGTATTTCTTGGCACGGCCGAGGCTGCGTCTTCCAAGAGCTGGCATACGACACACCATCGTGGAGGTTGCAGCCGTGTGAACGTGCGGCTAAGGACCGGTTCTGACATTCAGAGAGGGCGAGGATAGTTAATGTTCGCACGTGAAGATTTGGATTGGCGTGTCCAGATTATAATCTAGATATAGGGTGCCATTGAAGAAGGCCAAGGAAGGATGCAGAGGCGATTTAGATAGGGAATTATCAAGACATAAATTCCTCTTGAGCCTGATGATACCTGATAACGGGAATGAATAAGCGGACGCATGACGCAATATCGCGGCGTAGCAATTTTCTCGATAGCGACTCGCGAGAGAAAGAAGTTGGACTGTTAAGGGCTCCCGATGAGTTCGTGCAAGATGAGCTATTGTTCTCATTAACGACGAAGAGAATAAAGCACTTGGTATTTCAATGAGTTCATGTTGTATAACAGCAGGGGATTCACTCATCGGAACATTAGATTGAGATAAATTGGAGCCTTTCCTCTCTGAATGGAAACAATATCGTTGCGAGAGCTTGCAGAACAAGCACTGCGAGGACGTCTGCTTGTCATCGTTGGCTAAAAAGTGGAACCGGAAAGAGATACTAACCACTTAGGTTCGCGGCAAATCCTTACCGGTGTACGTACCTATCTTTGATGGACACTAAATGGCAGGCGCGTTTGCAGGCGCGTTTGCCTCAACTACCTGCCAACTCCTGCGTATAAGAATCATCCGTGCAACAACACATCACATCTCCTCGATTCAAGACAAGCGGCTACTGTAAAATTCGCCCGTGGAACGACTTGGGAGGAATCGAAACTGGACAAGAAGGGAAAGTCTTTCTGTCGGCCTTGCCGTCAAAATTTTCCGGTCCATGTCGATCTGAGGAATACGCCGTTGAGATTCCGGCAAGCGAGCAGGGGACCTCACGACGCCGACCGGCACTTCGGCGCAACCCAGCCGACGTGATATCATGTCGTCCTCACAGCCCTTTCGGGAATCATCCCCTATCCCCGGTATCGACAGACGCAAATCTCAGTTCACCTTCAAACATTTGTCCCAACTAGCGACTTACAATACATCGTGCCCCTTACGAGTTGTAGCCCACATTGACCTAGATGCTTTCTATGCACAATGCGAGATGGTTCGCTTGGGCGTGCCCAAGGACCAGCCTCTGGCCGTCCAGCAATGGTACGCGGCCTTTTCGTCTCATCGTTCTATCAACTACTAACAGCCTCAAGGCAAGGATTGATTGCTGTCAATTATCCAGCACGTGATCACGGCATCGGTCGTCATTGCACTTTGACGGATGCGAAGAAGTTGTGCCCTACCCTGGTTGCCCAGCATGTAGCAACTTGGCGAGAAGGCGACGACAAATGGGCATATCGCGATGATGCCGCTGCCAACATCCAGAGCGACAAAGTCTCGCTCGACCCGTACCGCCTTCAATGCAGAAAGATTTTGGCGGTCATCAAGGAAAGCTTGCCCACGGATCAGCAAAAGGTTGAAAAGGCCAGCATAGACGAGGTTTTTCTTGACCTCTCCGCACAGGTCCATGCAGTTCTCCTGGAACGCTTCCCCGAGCTCAGAAACCCACCGCCTTACGACGATCCGACGGAGAATCTTCCCGCCCCGTCCATAGCAGCCCTGGATTGGCAAGCGGATGCCCTCATCGACCTGAATGAGGAGGAGGAGTCCGTGGATCCGGACTGGGACGACGTGGCGATCCTTATTGGGTCTGAGATTGTCCGTGATGTCCGACGACAGATCCTGGAGAAGTTACACTACACATGCTCCGGAGGTATTGCCAAAAATAAGCTGTTAAGCAAGTTGGGCTCCGGCCACAAGAAGCCCAACCAACAGACCGTCATTCGAAACCGAGCCGTAGCCCAATTCTTGTCAGGCTTCAAGTTCACCAAGATACGCAATCTCGGGGGGAAGCTTGGCGAAACGGTGGTATCAACCTTTAACACTGAGGTCGTCGAAGAGCTATTGGCCATCCCTCTGGACCAGATGAAAGCAAAGCTAGGCCAGGACACCGGAAGCTGGGTTTTCAATACTATTCGTGGCATCGACACTAGTGATGTCAACTCTCGCACACAAATCAAGTCGATGCTATCGGCAAAATCCTTCCGACCCTACATCAACACCCCGGAACAAGCCCATCGGTGGCTGAGGATCTTTGCCGCCGACATCTTCGCTCGCTGGGTTGAAGAGGGCGTTTTGGAGAATAGGCGCAGGCCGAGAACAATAAACTTGCACCACCGGCATGGCGGCCAGATGAAATCACGCCAAGGCCCAATACCTCAGGGCAAGGCACTAGACGAGCAAGCCTTATTCGAACTTGCAAAGACCCTTTTGAACCAGATCATAGGGGAAGGCAACGTTTGGCCATGCGCCAACCTCAGCTTAAGTGTGGGCGGCTTCGAGGACGGCATCACAGGCAACATGGGTATTGGCGCTTTCTTGGTGAAAGGAGAAGAAGCCCAAGCACTAAGGCAGAGCACCCGCGAAGCAAGTGACATGTCCAATCCTGAAGAGAAGCCGCTAAAGAGACGTCGGACGGAGGGAGGGGCGATCCATCGCTTCTTCACACGCAACGTTTCTACCGACGAGGAACTGCCGTCCGACGGTGCATTCGCGACGAACGATATCAAACCCCGAGAAGAGACTAAGTCAGGTGAGCCTTCCACGGCTATCCCAGGTATGAGTCTGGCGCACGAGGACGGCAACGGCGGCTTCCATCAGGTGCCAATCACGGCCTTCGTGTGCTCACGGTGCAACACGGGGTTTGAAACGCCAGAAGAGCACCAGAGCCATGAGGATTGGCATTTTGCCAAAGATCTACAAGACCAAGAACGTGGCAAGCCCACACTTGCTCAGCATCCGTCTGCCACCCGCAGCTCCGGCCCAAAGACTCCAGGTACTTCGGCCAAGCGGGGGGGCCGCGGCGGCAAGCTCGAGCAGGGACAGAGCAGACTGAAGTTTGGATGAATCCTGATGATATGCCCGTCTCTACCAGCATCACGCCAAAAGTTTGTCGAGCGGGTCCTGCCGCCTGATACGCGACGAGACTTGGAAGTTGGTAAACTTTGACGCCCTGAGACCTGGTCCAAGGGTCACCGCAGTACAGGAGATTGACGGCGAAGCCCCCGACGAACCTGAGGAATGATCACTGATGGGCGTTTTCTTTCCAAATTCAAGCTTCACCGAGCGAATTATGAGGCGAGTCTTACACAAGGGTACCCACAGGGCAGGGACGACATGACTTCGGGGCCTGGCCTGGCTGTCTGTTGTTGCCCAGTTGGGCACTCGGTATAACAACTTGGGAAGCAAGCCTGTCTCACAGTAGACACAGTCGCGGCCCTGGGCGTTGCTTCCGGCCTTGCGCCGGGTTGCAGTCTATCAGAGGACGTAGTTACATGAGACATGAGGACGGATCAACTTGGCGAACCACAACGGCCTGACGGGACAGGGACAGACATGCGGTTGAGCGTCTCCGCAGGCGCAAGCGACGAGTTTGATGGCTACATGTGGATCGAAACTACCCGCAAGTGTCGTCATTCCAATTCCCGCCTGCAGCCTTCCGCGACATAGCCGGATCCTCACGGCCCACGGGTTAAACCAATATTGGGAGCGTCAGGGGCAATGAGGCCTGCGAGTAAGGCTTCATACACATGATTCACGAACTTGAATATGGCCTCTTGAATAAGAAAATAGCAGTTATTACGCTTGTGCTCTGGATGGAAGAGACCGGTGCACACCAGATCCCTGATCGAGGCCGGTTCCGTGATACTGTTGGATCGAGGTTCACGCATCGATTTGGTTGCGTCTGGATTGACACAATCCGGATGACGTCTGCAAGTGATTGGTTGCTAATTAGGCATCTTTGGGCCAATGTGGGTTGGGCCACATTTTTGGCGCGAGGCATTGATACCCAACGTTACCAACCACCACCTGGCACCGACGCACCGTTACCAAATTCCCGACTAGTAACACTACTCTATATCCGTATCCGTACGAACCACACAAAGCAGCGTTTGCGGGAAAAAAGCACGCACTCGCCTTGTCTTGAGCCGTGGACCACCGCGGACAGAATGGAGACTGAAAGAGGAAGAGAGACGGGGCATTCCCGGCAGTCGGAAGCGATAGGCCACCGCTTCGCAGCGATGCATAGGGGCCACATCGCCGACCCCGAGTGGGTTCGTAGCAACGGCGAAGTCAATTTTGATGAGGACACCGCCAGCAACTGCCGGACGACAAAGAGACAGGGCAAGCAACGGGGAGCTACGCCGTCAAGTCGCGAAATGGCCGGCAGTGGAGGGCAAGGGTCCCAGGAAACGAACGTCCGTCTTCCACGCTCCACAGCTACGGGGGTTTGATAGAGGTCGGCCGGGGAGCGGACGTCAGGACTGTCATTGAGGACGTGCTTCGAACAACTAGTTTTTGCGCCCTCAAAAGCCCGCCGGTTGTTCGCCGTCCGAGGCTGGGATATCCCGTCCTAGTAGGGTACCAACAGCTCGGTCAGTCAGACTTGAGAAAATTGAAAGGGACTGGAAGAAAAAAGTAAAAGACCCAGGCTTGCATCATCTAACCATTTTCGCGTCTAGCGAACTGACATAGGCAACGAGGTCATCAGGGGCTGGGGTTTGGCAGATGAAGTCGGCAAGAAAATGCAACTCTCAACACTGGCTTACGCGCTTGGTTCTCAAGTGCGCAGACTATACGTGCACTTACCGACTGTGGCATGCCATTGTCACCTACGTCTCAGCAGGAGAAATTAGCTTTTGAAGTCTGTGAATGTTTCTCAGCTTGTTCAACGGGGATCGACACGGATTGCAATGTCAATGTGATCTCCCGTAGCATCCCATCCGCCTTTTCCAAAGTTACACAGACACACAGAGTACATACTTCTTTATTAGCCTCGGCAATCAGACTGCCGCTCAATCAAATGGCCTAGCGGATGTTGAAAAACGCCACAACGCCAAAGTAGTTAAATGTCTTCTCGATACATCCTTGACAAGGACGGCCCAAAACGCCATAGAACGACGGTCTAGAAGGGACTACCCACGAGCCACATCTTCTCCAAACTACTTCATCCCAAGCCGATGAATGCACTTCAGCCTCAGCTACGCCAAATTCTCAAACAAGAATACTTGGGGCGGAAGGTCTGGATCCTTTTCGAACCTCCCTATGAGGCACGCAACAGCACCGGACATGACGATATCCGGACCTGGGAGAGGCGTCGGGCTCTATCACGGGCAATGGCGCATCTCACTTAGGGCGAAGACACCCTAAAGGATGGCTACAGGCCACGAGATTTTACTTTGAGCTGTTGACGATCTTCTCGCGGTTTCGGCTCAACAGCGTCTCCCGCACACAACTCTCTCGATTGGGCCTCGAAATGCCTTGCCGCATTGGATGAGTTTCGACTTCTGGGGGGCGGAGGCAGAGACAAATAATACACGCATCATGGAGCCGAGCCCCCCGGTGCAACGAGATTCGAGCCTGCTGTGCTCCGTAACTTGAAGGACAAACCTTCGCATTGGATCTCACTACAGCTCGCTATCATGCCGTTTGTCTCATCTCTACCCTTTCGGAGCTTGACACGACAGTGAGCCATATATAACGAGCGCTTGGCTGCTGCATCTTTTTGGCTGGGTAAATCAGTCACTGGTCAGCTTGAGAACCTGTACCAAGTTGGCCCGCCTCAGTTGCCTTTCGTTCGCCTTACGTGCGCCTATTTGTACAGCAACGAGGACAAAATGCAGGCAGAGGGCAGGCCTCAATATCCCAACGAATACCAACTCTGTGTACGGATACCAATAGGTGTGCAAGTGCGTGTGCGGCAACAGCCCTCGCATGTTTGCTTCTTCCCACAGACGCACATCCTGTACCTATCCAGACGTACTCACGCACGTCACCGTGGATGTCGGCTCAATGCTATCCTAGTCATCGGGACCACCCAGGTGGTGGTCTTGCTGCGCGCTAAAACGGAGCATTGAAAGCCCCGGACGGGACGACGTTTCCTGGGGCGCCCTGGACTTCCGTGAGTAAGATATTTGTTGTTCAGAGTGCGCGCACAACGCAGGGAAGTTCCTCGGTATCCCTTTTGGGCTGCGCGACAAGTCAACCCAACCTCCCAACCTCTCATGAGCTGCAAGCCTGCACCTCATCCCGTCTCCATCCACTCAGAGCGGCCGCCACCCATTCTTCCCTGCTGCCGCCCAACCGCTCTCCGCCTCTCTGTCTATCTGTATCCGTACGGAGCATTTGTACCAGATTTCTGCTTTTTGCTTTCCGTCCTGCCAGGTGGCTTTTACCGCCTCTGCTGGCTGGTCAGGTTTTCGCTGCCTATCCATTCGTACCTAGACTGGGGCTGGGAAATATCCATACTGGAAGTACAGCTCGAGATGTACAACTGGATACCTCTCATCCTCCCGCCGTCTGGCTTCCTCTTGGGAACTAGGCGGCGCAAGCTGGGCTAAGCAGGCTCTCATCGCTTGGCCAGCAAGAGGCTAGACTTGGGCCACACCATAGACGCAACACAACCCACCCCTAGGCACCCCCTCCTCGTACACTAAGGGGATCCAGTAGCATATTGGCCAGGTTGCCAGGGTTTGGGAAGAGCGCGAGTGAAAATCCGCACGGGACTGTCAGCCAGCAACGTGGTGCCAGCACGCCCTGTGGTTTCCTTGTCTGGTCGGTCCCGAGCCTTCTCTACTGGATGGACGGAGCAGAAGGAGAAGGCCTCCCATCCTACCTCATCGTTTCACGGGGGGTGAGGAAGCGAGATAGAAGTAGAGAGAGAGAGAGAGAGGGAGAGCAAGCCATACACAGTAGAGGCAGAGGGTGTGGGTGTCGTGCGAGTGTAAGGTAGTCCGTAGGCTTAGGTCATTCGAATTGCCTACCTGAGGCTACCTTACCTCACCTCACATACGGAGTAGGTACCTTAGGTACGTACGTTCCCGGTTCAGGTCGCTACCACCAACAGCAGTGAGGTAAGGTAAGGTACAAGGGCAGTACTCGGTACCAAGTACACCTCACGCCTCAACGGCTCAGAACCACAGTATAAAAAATAAAAAATAAAAGTGAGGACGAGGGGTGTTGGTGACCAGTCACAGGCTGGCCTCACTGACCACATTTGGTCACTGGACGCAGAACCCAGCGGTTGACTGGTCCACGTCGGTGACTTCACTTACCGCTGCCCGCTAGGTCCCGGTTTTCCCTACCAGAAGCCCCCACCCCCAAGAGAAGAGCCAGACTCTGGCCTGTTCCTTTTCTGCGCCCACCACCCACTCCCTGCCCGCTTTTGCCTTCCCATGCTTCCTCTTTTTCTTCCCGCCATCTTGACAATCCCATTTCTTGCTCTCCTCCCCTTCCTCTTTCTTCTCTTTTCTTCCTCCCTCTTGTCCTCTCTCTCACCTTCACGTCGCCTCGCCTCGCTCGACCCTCCCTCTCGACCGGTTACCCTCCTCCTACTCAGACCACCCCCGCTTTCAACCGTCAACATGTCGAGATCCTCCCGTGGCCCCCCTCCGTCGGCTTCGTCTGCCGCTCAGAGCGGACGCTCTAACGAGTACTTCGTTCCGAGAGATGGAATTGACCGCGAGGTCATCACCGCCGATATTTGCCGCTATCTCGGCAACGACGCCCTCGTGCGCCCAGGTCACTACGAGAACCCTCAGACCGGACAAGTCTCCCAGGGTTACTACATCACCGCCTACCGAAACCTAACAACAGTGAGTGGCTCTGGTCCGCTGTCGTCGCGCTTCTCCGACCATCATACTGATATATCGCCTCCGTAGGCCATGATCGACGACTTGAAGGCCGATTCTGCGCGATGGGAGGCAGAGAGGCGGCAACAGGCCGCCCGGAACAGTTCAGGAGGTACATTTGCCTCAAGAGACGCGACGGCTCTTTTGTTGAGACGTTCTAACTCCCCTACAGCAGGGTACCGCCAGTCGGAGACTCACTCCGCACGCCAACACTATGGTCCCACGGATTCCACTGGCTACCCGGACGTAGGACGTGATTCCTATGAAAGCACCCCTAGATACCCCGGATCTCAAGCCCCAGGATACTCAGGGAACTCTGCCCAGGGCTACTCTGGATCTGCCCCTTCCTACCAACAGCAGCCTCCTTCTTCTTACTCAAGTGGTGGGTATCCGTACTCTGGACAGCCGGATCCAAGAGCCGACCCCAGATACGCTGGACAAGGTCAAATGGGACAAGGATACGGTGAACCCCCGTATATTGCCACGGCCGCAAACATGGCGGCGCGAAGCAACTACCCCGCCGACCCCTACGGCGCAGGACAGCCCTCTCGAACTCCTACATCGATGGCACCTCCTCAAGGAGGCCCGGCTTACCCTTCCGGATCACAGGTTCCGGCAGGATATCCCACAGGTTACTACCCGCCTTCGACATCGGCTTCGTACGGCTCCACGCCGGTGGCTTCTGATCCGTTGTACGGACGCGGTGCGTATACGACTTTGTACCCCAACCCAACCTTGTCGACCTAATCTAATTATGTAGCGTCCCCAGCAGGTGGTGTAACTCATCCGTCTCTCTCTGGCCAAGGATCACAGTATGATAAGCCCCCTGCACCCCGTGGTTCTGCTCCTCCTTCGAGTTCCAAAGCTCAGACGACAAGTAGTGGATCATCGCACTCCCGCCGCAGCGAACGGGATTCCGACAGGCATCACCAATCCGACCGCCATCGCCCCCCGCGTCGCTAATACGTTACCTTCATTGGAATTTACTGTAGCCACTCCGACTGCACAGGACGCCCGTCCTGTGAGTCGCTGTCATGAACTTGATCCTAGTGATCTCGGGTCTTGGACCCGTTTCCGGTGTCGGCTTCCTTATCATTGTTTCTCCTGGATAGACCCTTTTCCTGGACTCGAGGTGTGGTATCCATCTCATGAGTTGCAAGTATGCATCTCGCACTCTCTGTTGTCTGGCTTTGCTGGCGTTTTGGCTCTGCGCGGCCTCAGAGCTTTCCTGGCTCTACATACATTCCTGGACCATTACGTCTCGAGTTCTATTACATCCTGCCCGGATCTCACCTGGACTTGACCTGGATTTCACCAAGAATGGATTCTGCCGCGCATACCCCTGGACGTTTTACGACTGCATAAATGGATGGGCTTACGATTTTTGCTATTCGATCAACCTTTTCTTTTCAGCAAGTATGACTTGCTACCACGTGTTTATGGCCCGGAACCCAGGAACGGAAAAGGACGTACCGTACTATCTTGAACCGAGTCGACTTTGACGACTCGAACGGACCACCTTGCTGTCTGGAGCCGTCCTGGCGGTGGATGTAATGTCATTTTACTCTCTTCTCCTGGTCTGGGTCCCATTCCTCCTACATGGACTTTTGGAGTTCGGGGTCATCATGGTGTTTCCTTATAGAATGGGCGACGACGGCATCTGGACAGCACGGTGAGTTCACGGACTGCACTTTCTTGAACAACCTCGAAAGGACACTTCTGCAACTTCCCTCATAGGGATCTGGGACACTCGTGATTGAGGACTCTCATTTACCTAACGTCACAGCCATCCAACCGGACTTGTTGCAACGCAAATTATTCCCCAACTGGAAAGAAACTACTGGCCATTTGCAAACCTGGATCTGCTCTAAAGCACTCGCACCGCACCAAGGACTTCATTCCCCATTTTGGAGATGCCGAATCATAGCTATGGACCAGCTTGTGGCAGTACCACCCATCGGACAGTGGCCGTGGAGAAGAAAGGCCTTGACCCCCACAACCGAGACTCCCAAACCCTTTTGGATCTCGCGTCAGCTCATTGAGCTCAAACAAGAAATTACAGGGAGGAGATACATCTCCAACGTGGGTGAGTTCTACGTGGTCTGGCCTGCCCACCTTTGCGATACAACGGTCAAGACATTCCATCCATTATGAGAGGCCGTTGCCGGTCAATATACCTTGGCACCAGACAACATCCGTTGCCTTTTGGATGCATGTTGCGACCATCAATGCAGCCTGCCATGGGACACGAGTCTGGCGGTTCATTGTACCATTATCCACTGTGACCTGAAAATGAGGCATGGTGAGGTTCACTAGCGCCAGGCTAGGCACATGATACAATCGACTCAACCCTACTCTCTTGGACTACTTCTTCTGGATTGCGGCTGCCCAGCCTGGTGGAATACTTCCTGGATCTCGTGGAGCCTTCCTGGCAGCTCTTCCGGAATAGCTCGTTAGTCACCACTATTTCTATTCGTTGTGTTTTCTTCGCATTGTGGAACCATATCTATCCAAGCCGGGACATCGAACGCGGGAACTAATACGCTTGTCGCAGGCCAATTTACAGGGAACAAGCACATAAAGATCTGGCCAGGATGGGTAGCAGTGGCTCGATTGAGCGGACTTGATGTATTGCATATATCGGCGATTGTTTTTGTTTGGACCTTTCTGAAGAGTTTTGGAGTTGTGGTGATATTTACCGGAATTATTTCATGCGTTTTTATCGATGTATTTGGCGTTTGGGCATCGGGTAACCAGCGGTTACCGGCTATTGAATGATGACTAAGTCTCCGTAATGAATTGAACGTTTCTGGATTCCCTCTGATCTGTCATATCAACCATGGTCATTTTCTCGTCATTCGTCATCTTGTAGACGCGTCTTGATACTCGGCAGGTCGCATCGGGATAGCCTTGCCTAGCATCACCCCAGTCCTGGGTGATGTCACCCTGTCCACATTGCCTCCCTCTCCCTACCCCCTCGACGATGTAAGGTTCGTTCATCGCCACTGCTGACGAGATGTGTGTTGCTCGTGTCGTGTGCGTGATCTGAAGCTTAAGTGTCAGGCACCTACCCACCATCCATTCTCTTGGGACCGATTTGATTTTCCATGTCGGAGAAAAAAGGATTGGGTGGATGGCGCGCAAGGGGGTCCCTCTGGTGATAGAGTTTGGACTGGGATGCGGTGTATCCAGGGAGAAGGTTTGTGAGTTGATGGGGGGGTTGACGTGGTGGTAGTTGATGAGGTAGTCGTACAGACGTGGGGAGAAATCATGTTATGGTTATTGAGCGGGTTGCTTGGGGTTCTATGGTCTTCTTTGGACGAGTTTAGTGGTTCATTTGTTGTGTGTGGATGTATATCATATTGTGTGTTTGACCACAACTCTTCAACTGATGGATGTTGGGATGTACGAGGCCAGGTTCGACGCCATGGAAGAGGTATGCTGGACATTAGATAAGTTTCCTTTCGTGAGTGTTCATTCCCTTTTTGTTGGTGGGTAGCGAGGATGAAGAAAGATGAGAAGCAGATGAACTGTTGCCGTTCGTTCCCCCGGGTCTGAACTCCAGATCTGGGGAGGAGAATCCGGTTCATTGCCCTGCCAAGACCGACCGGATCGAGGCCTGGTGTTTTTCTTTGCCACCATTCTCTCTGTCTCTCCGCATGTTAATAAAGTTTACCTCTGGAGCAGCACCCCCCCCTCCTTTCAATTCTTCTCCATGATGTTTGCCATGACTTATTCATTTCCTCATCCCATTTTCCGCATGCTGTTTAGCGGAGATTTGGCACCACCTCCTTTTTGAATGTGTGTTTGAGAGAAGAGGAGTATGGGATGAAATTGAGGGATAGACTAGGGATGATGGGCATAAGAGCTGGACTCCTGAGGTACATCAAGAGAAGATATTCACGTATGTTGTCAAGGATGAGAAGGTATCATGGTGACTTTGAGAATCTGATGCTTTACCTCGAAACCATGTACCGGCAACTAGAAAATGCCGTGAGTGCGTTATCAAACGTTAAAGCTATGCGGCCGGAGAGTGACTGTCCTCTACTAACGTGGCCTTAAGAGGGACATGTGTAGGCGTAGCGATGACCTGGTGAAGTTGCTAAGCTCCCTGCTGCTGTCGAGGGAGTGTATCTCTCTGCGATCTGGCATAGAGGAGAAGGGGGGACCATCGGTGCCGATATCCGAGCGAAATCGATTCATGCTTAACTACAGTGGGATGGAGGAGGAGGCTCTCACATAGTACCTACGGGGTCTTGACGTTGAAGTTTGAAAGTTACAGCGATGAACCTTGTTCTTGGAGGCTTAGAAGGGAAAAGGGGTCGAATGGATATTGATCAGCTTTTTCTTTTCTTTCACTTTAGAGATCAACCAGAGATCTCGCCGGCAATGACCTAGGAGTTACCGGCTCTTGGAATCGTCATCCATTCAATACTGGCTTACTATATATAGTCTTGTCTGGGAAATGAACAGTATGAACGTAGCAGAGCCCAGGAGTGGGGTGAATAAAGAACTTGCATGCCAGATGCGAGGCCTCATTGACTCAAGAAGACTCTAGTAGTCGTTTAGGCCATGGGGATGGAGAATATTTCTGTTGAAGTACATGAGAACCGGAGACTCTTTTACGTCGAGGTTTTGATGGAGGCGGACTCGCACCCCGAGACTCCGATTTTTTTTTTTTTTTGGCGGGGCGGCGCGCATGCCAAAAGAGACGGGATCGTGGCCTTATCTCGAATTACAGTCTAGACGCGGTTGACGCCAATGAAACCACATCTTCTTTTTCAACAGTTCTTACTTGAGATTAAGGGAACGGTGTTTAGGGGCAAAAAGAAAAAGGAGCCAAAAAAAAAAAAGATTCGGTAGAGTTTGCGGACGAGCATAAAGGGGCTTGTTGACCTCACCTGAATACGGAAAGGACCCGAGCGATCATGAAAATGGAACGGGCGAAGGTGGAAAGGTACCGGTAGGTTTTTTGATATGGAGCCTTCTCCCGGCGATTGCGCTCCGGTGAAGTGGGAACTCGGCCCACACCGAGGACGGGGTGACCAGGCCAGTTGACACGGGGACCGACATGGAGGGGTCAAAGACGGCATCCCTGGGAAATTTTTTGGTTCATCAGGGCTGAGGACTTGGAGATTCACGGGTACAAGCGGAAGTCTGAAGATATATGTGTCATGCCAGAGAGCGTCTCAAAGTCTGCTGTTATCCACGTCTGCCATAGAGTTGAATCTGAGTTGACAGGAATGATGGTGGCAGACTGAGGTGCCCTGGGGATGGGATGGAGGGGGGGGAGGGGGGAAAACGAGGGACGACGGGGACGAGGAGGGGTCTGGAAGGCGCCGACCTACCCTTTGAGTTGACAGGCACGACAGGCACGACAGGCACCGTGGGACGGGCGGTGAAGGAGAAAAAACAGCAGGTGCAGGGGAGGGGCTTCTGTCGGTAGTGGGGTTCCTGACAATGGCCGGGGCAAAAGATGAACCAATAACAAGACTGCGTTGACGCCTCGGGCTGCCCTGATGCCATACCGCTTTCAGGGCGAGTGGAGGCGGTGGGCGGCGCACTTTTGCGTTTGCTTGCCTTTTGCTTCCTTTTCTGCCGGAAAAAAAAACATTGTTCAGAAGTGAGGTACCTTTAGCTGCCAGCTTAGGTAATGGAGTCTAAGTAGTGTCTGAGGGGCATAACGTACCTACGGAACGCACTCCTAGACTGCTACTTCTTCTGCTCTCGTGGGGACATTGTGGTACCTCACTTGGCGACATTCAGTTGCGACAATCAAGAAGGAAGCAAACATTCTCCAGCAACCCAATGCACAAATTGGTGAATGTGGGTAAAGATTGAGCTACTGTGCGAATACCTGCACACCTAATAAAGGTCCAGGACGAATAAGGTGGGTGGGAAGGAGGGCAGTGTGAGGGTAGCATCAACCAATTCCATGGATTTCGTGTTAGCAGCCGGTCCCCTGCTTGCTTGGACTTGCAAAGGACGATATTCCCACACAGACACACACCTTTTCCTGCCGCTCCCCATTTCCCTGAGACGCGGTAGCAATCCCCGTGGGATCTTGTTCCACAGGGGGAAAATGGGAAAATACCAAAACAAGCAACAGCACGGTATCGTGACACGAGGGTTTATTCGTCTTGGGATGATGGGTGAGGAGTATCGTCTCATCCAACCCCCCCGACGTCTCTTGTCGTGCGTGATGAGAGCATTGCCAGATGACATCCATCGCCTTGAACTGTTGGTTCATGTTGAGACGGCAGTATTGTGACACAGGTCGAAGTGCCCTCTGCGTCAACTATAGAGTCAGGAGAAGCGCATTGCGCGCTCTGAGGCCTGAGGTTGGGAATCCTGAATCCGTCGCAACCATGAGAATAGAGGTTCACTGTCCACCGCATTCCAGCCTAGCCGTGACTGTCATTGCCGTCTGACACCCGCCATCGTCAAGGCGAAAGGAAAATAAAGGGTCAGTATTGCTTTTTGGGAAGGAATCCAGAAAGGTGAAAGTCATCAGGCAGAAAACCTGGCAATGCCTTGACAGACTCTTTCCCCGTAGGCAGGACCAACTTGCCGCATTACAAAGTTGGAGACGCTTTCCGTGCAGGAGGCATTGTCCATTGTTGTGATCTTTCAGAGCTGGAGAAACCCGCCGGTAGCCAATCATCTCATTAGACACGTACATCAGACACGCACACAGACATTTCTTTCTTCCCAAGACAGAACAGCAGACAGAAAGCCAAAAGTCAAAGACAGACAACCAGCGACAAACTCGCCCGAGTCTTCTTTCCCTGCCCGCCTTACGTTAGTTACCTGAGTTAAGGTAGCCCGCCCCTGCCCAGAAGCCAATCCGACGCCTTCGCACCAACAACAACCCGCTACACGTCAGGCCTGAACAGGTAAGCCCATTCAATGCCTTAGCAATTACCTTATGGAACTTGAAAGCATCTAGCAGTACTTGGCTCTACCCTAATATCCCGGTGCGACACGAGGTACCCAGCCAAGCCTAAGGTAGCTGATGGAAGGTACCTCTGGACTTTGGTTCCTGTCCCCTTCTTTCCTTTCCCTTTTCCTACTAGACCCTTCATTACTCCCCCTACCACACACATTTCAGCCAACTTTCCTTACCGTCCGTCCACTCAGTCAGTTATTCAGCACCTACTCACCTCAGACCGTCGACCCTTGCGTTTTTGGCTTCCCGTGGTTCCTTGACCTGACTTACCTTGCCTTCATTCGCACGCAGCAAGCCCAGCCCAGCCCAGCCCAGCCCAGCGACCGCACACTCAACACGCAGTACCTTACGAAGTACGCAGTACTCAGCAGCCCAGTACATACCTCAACGCAGCGACGCCCACACCCGCACCGCACCGCACCGCACCGCACCGCACACACGCACGCACACTTCCACTTCCAGTACCTTACGCCCACACACGCCGTACCGTACCGCCGTCGCCGTGGCATGCCCCGCCATTTCGAGGCAACACAGTCGACCCGCCCAAAATTTTGTCTTCACCACCCGCACCGCTTTCCTTCCTCTCAACTCCTATCCCGCCTTCGCCTCGACATCACCCCGTCAATTCACCCAAGATGGACACCACGGCGATTCGAGGCCTGCTCGCGGCCAGTTTGGACCCCGATGCCGACACGAGACGGCGGGCTGAGATTCAGCTGAAGCAGGTATGAACACGAGAAACTTTTCTCTTTTTGCCTTTCCCACCCGTCCTCCTTTCCCGCTTTCGCTTCCTAATGCCCCCTTCTCGTGTCCTGAGAGATCCCACCACCCCTCCCCCACGAATGGCCCCTCCATGACTGCGCCAGGGACGATCCGCACTACATCGCACCGCACGCACATATACAGACGTATACAACATGGACGAGATGCATCCCTATCGGCAACATTTCTTTGCACCGTCGCGGGCCTG